GAGGGAGGGAGGGAGGGAGGGGGACTGTCAAGACAAAGCTGCACTGGAGGAAACCTTGTTTGCGCATGATGCGGCTGCCCAAGCGGCTCTTGCGAGTCACGTGGAAGAGGCGACGGAAGCTCAGGAGATAGCTCTTCGACCGCAGAGAGGGTCATCGGGATGGTCACGGTCGGCGATTTTTGGGGAAGGAAGAACCTAGCTAATGTTGAGGTGGCAAGACTCCGTGCCAAACCCTGTTTGCGTCTCCGCGCGGCGTAGTTTGCCCAGGTAAGCGTTCGGCTAGCCCATGCTGCTCCTGAAACGGGCTTGTTCAAAGTTGCAGAGGATCGTGTCACGAGCGTGCCATGACGACCAACGAGAGAAGCAGAAGTTCGAACCGCCCACGAACGGCTCAAAGGCACCCGAACAAATCCACCCGCTGAAGCTATCTTGAGCTCCTTGGCCGACGACACACAATGCCAGCAAGCAGACAGCAGCCCTCCGAGCAATGGCCCAAGAGCTCAACCAAAACGCCAAAGAGCATCGCACTTCCAAACTTTAGACGAGAAGCTCCGGGTTAGCAAGCCACGTCTGCATGCTAGTTATTGCCGGCTGTGCAGCGGGGAGGTTCAAGCTTCTGACAAAGAAGGAGCTGCGCTTTCTCTGTCGATGATAGTTCAGCGATCCGGACAATGGTGATGGGGATAAAATCGGATAAAAGCTAACCCCGTCGGCTTCCGGTGCCATGGGCCAGGGCCCTGCTCAGGTCCGGGCGGCTTTGGTCCAGCACGTAGACGAACAGACGCGGGAGGAGCAGAGGCCCTCGTCTCAGCTCACCCTTTCCGATACAACCGGGCTTCCTGGATTGAACTACGAAACTTCCTCCTTACGTCTTCATGTCTCGCTGGGGCAGATGTGAGGCTTCCAGCTCCGGAGGAGCCGTCAGATGCGGAGGTAGAAGCGGAGGCAGAAGCGGACGTGGCAGATGGGATGGAGGAGCACCGCAAATAAAACCCAAACCTCAATTCTGGACCCAAACCCCGAGGCAGGCTCGCGATCCCACATGCCTCAGCAGTGAGGGCCCCTGCCGTCTTAATGCTGTCTGCAGGATCCGTTTGAAGCCTGACGCTCTTAACCCTGGAACTGTAAAGCTTCAAGACGCGAGAGGCCCACAACCAGGAGATCGCGCCAAAGGCGGGCACACAGGACAGGCCTCCCATGGTTACGCCCGCTAGCCTAGGCTCATGCTCCACAGACCGAGACTCGTTAGCCCCAAAATGCCCTTGAACCCCTTGAGGACGAAGAGTTGGAGGCCTGGCGCTTACGGGTCCAGCTCATGATGCTTCAGGAGGCCGCCGCCTCTTGCATCTGGGACTGTCACTTTCTTTCGGGGTTTGGTGATGTAAGGCTTCCCGTGATCCATGGAGTTTATACGGGTTGGGTTTGAAGGCTTGGAGCCCCAAGGCCCAAGACACGTTGATCAAATGAACTCCGGGGATTCTGCGGAGACCTGAAAGCTCTGCTTGACAGCTCCGAAAACCCCCGAAAACCGCGTCACCTCGCTGAGGCATCCCAGCGAAAATGAGCCCTCGAGAACTTGTCCGCACTCTCGGAATGGCCATGGCGGACTCGCCCTCCTTTGCTCAGGCCGCAAGCCGCACTAGGGCCCAGAAGGGGTTTAGGGCCGAGGGCTCAAATTTTTGAGATGTAACGGGCCTTTGAGGGCTTCGAACTTACTGATGTTTGGGGCTTCTTTCAGCCCTCAGATGCGACGGGCTGCATGTAACTAGGCCTGTGGCTGGCACGTTCTATCTACACGACTATGCGCCTCTGTCAATGGAAGATTGCTGCTCATGTGAAGTGTGTTTTTTGGCCTGGTTTCCGCAGGTGCATGTGAGACCTTAGGCCTAATGGTTGGGCAGGCACCTGAGCTAGAGCAGGCAGATAAAGACAGAAACTGCAGTCGTCTCGGGAGTTGCGTTCGCTGCATATATCTGAAGTTCCATGTTCCCGAGAAACCTAGATGTGCAAAGGTTTTATGGTGGGTTGAGGTTTCTGTATCCCGTACTCCACACTGGCGTTCACCCGCTGAGGTTTGTAGTGCCGTTCAGCAGATACACGATTGCGATTGATGTCCAACTTCTGTATCTCATCTCTTGTCCACATGCCTCGAAGCTTGTGCAGACCCTATCTAAATCGCGTACCTGAGAGTGACAAGGCTTCGCCGGAAGACATCACCCACCCCAGCTCACGTGGCTCCCTCCTTGTGGCGGGGCCGCAATAGTCTCTCTCGTACAATAGTACACGATGGGTAATGGCAGCAATGAAACGCCACGAAAACTTTAGCACTCGACGCTACAGCGATGCACAAAGTAAAGCCCGAGTTGATCATCATCATCATCATCATCATCATCTACTACTACTACTACTACTACTACTACTAATGCTGCTACTGCTGCTGCTATTACTGCTACTACTGCTGCTACACTACTACTACTGCTGCTACTACTACTGCTACTGCTACTGCTACTGCTACTGCTGCTGCTGCTGCTGCTGCTACTACTACTACTACTACTACTACCACCTACCACTACCACTACCACTACCATTACTACGACTACTACGACTACTACTACTACTACTACTACTGCTACTACTACTACTACTACTACTACCCTACTACTACTAGTACTACTACTACTACTACTAGCCACCCCCGCCCCCTACCAAGTACCTGGCGCC